CACCACCGCCTGGTTGGAAGGGCGAGGCAAGGGGGGAGAGCGAGCACGAAGCAACGGAGGGTGCCGCCACGACGAGCTGGGCACCGAGTTCACCGTCTCAGGCCCAGCCGCGGTTGACGGCAGCGAGGAGGCCTCCATGGGCACCTCCCGAGTCGCCGATGATGGGGGACGGGGGCTTCCCGCGCTGGATCCGGCCGTCCCCACCATGGATGGCGCCAGCTGCGCATCTAGCGAGACGCTGGCCATGGCAGTGCCAGCATCCGGCTCTGGCGGAGCAGGGGGGCTAGGCAGCCGGCGTCCGAGCAGGGGCCCGCGGGGCCTACCTCGGCGGAGTCAGCGGCGGGATCCGGTGCTGTTGAGGCAGCCATCAAGCGGCGATCAGCATGGACGGCGGTGGCAAGGACAAGATCGGTGCCCAAGTGAGCCATGGAGGTGGGGAAAGGGAGGGGCTGGAGGTGGATCTAGGGAGGGGAGAGAGGGAAGGCGAGGAGGGGGTAGACTCCGGTAGCGGTGGCCGCACAACCAGCGGCAGCGGCGGCGTAGCTGCGCTCGCGCGCGCCCGGGGAGAGGGGGAAAGGGAGGAGCTGCTAGAGGATCTGTGGAGGGGAGGGGAGAGAGGCGTGCGGGGAGAAGATAGGGCGCGTCCGCAGTTAAAAAAACATTTTTCCCTTTGCCGAGTGTCCTGGATCTGGGTACTCGGCAAAGTTTTTATTTTTTATTTTTTTATTTTTTTTCTTCTTCTTCTTTCCCAGAAGAAATATTTTTTTACTTTGCCGAGTGTCCTAGATCTGGGCACTCGGCAAAGTTTTTTTTTCTTCTCCTTCTTTTCTAGAAAAAAGATTTCCTTTCTTTGCCGAGTGTCCTGAATCTGGGCACTCGGCAAAGTTTTTTTTCATTTTTTTTCTTCTCCTTCTTTCCCAGAAAAAAGATTTTTACTTCTTTGCCGAGTGTAAAAAAAAACACTCGGCAAACCATCTTTGTCGAGTGTTTTTTTTTACACTCGGCAAACCTCTTGTTTACCGAGTGTTTTTTTTCTTGTCGAGTGAGATCTTGTTTGCCGAGTGCCCAAGAGAATACACTCGGCAAACATAAAAACACTCAGCAAATTTGACGTTTCCGATAGTGATAGGCTGCAAATTCATCACCTCCAAAATTTCCTTTCCACGACCATGGACGGTGAGATCAATGGCCCAGCAAAGTAACTGTCTTGATTGGGAGTGTCCATGAGCATCTCTCCGTTTGCAGATAATGGCCACAGTTTGGTTGTCTGCTAATGAAATCGATGCTTGCAATGATGATCTCGCTGTGGCAATCACTAAAATCATCAAAGGTAAGAAGATCTCAACCAAAAATCATCTGATTTTATCAGTAGAATTATTTGGACTAACCTAAGCGAACTAGATATAAGGAACTATTGTAAACGAGAGATGGGTCCATCTCCTTGTTGCCACTGGTGAACTCGCCAGAGAGGAAGAAGAAGAGGGGCCCTAATAAGCGGCAACAGTGAGGAGAAAAGGGCACATCGGCGACTATTACCTTATTTATACTAATTGGCTCACAAAAAATGACTTTGGGCTTAACAATTGCCAACCGAAAATATTTTTGCAGATAATGTTCAGGGGACATATTGGCTCCGGTTCTAAGATCTGTTACATCATACTGAGAAACTTAAGAACCACCAAGTATACTCTTGCCAGATTTAGAATCAACATCGATGGATTTCTTGCCTCCAATGGATCGCCATTTATTTTTCGTATTGGCTATTAATGTTAAACACATTTTGTGAAGTTAGCAAAACTTTATAATAATTTTGGACTGATGTCCCCTTCCTTAAAAGAGGTTTGAAGCCGGATTTCTTTCATTATCCAAAAAAATACGAGTTGTTGATAAATCCTGCAGATACATGCAATGTGCCGTAGGCGTGGAGTGGAAATTCAAAACTGTGGCATCTAACAAATATATTGATTAGCAGCGAGTCCTGAGATATTCAGACGGTGGTATTCTCTTGATAAAATGTGCTAGACACAGAACAGAGACGCAAATGCATGTGTGGCAGTGCCTTATCTTTCTGACCCACCTCCATAGGGGTTCATCATGGCATCGCATGTAAGTCCTACATCCCCGCGCGCGATCACTGCAGCTTCCAACTTCCATAACTGTTACTGCAAACACAGGTTATGTATGCACACAATGATGCCTCTATGCTCTACTGCATTATTCGATCTCAAACTGATCAGGGAGAGAGAGAACAGATTATTCATGGACTTCCTTTGCCTGTCCAGCGCTCACAATCCTCCTCTCGTCTGAAAATGGTTTCACAAACCTGAAACACGATCAACGGTTTGTCACTCTCACGTCGTCGTCTATCATGCGCAAAGCAGTTTCAGACGGACGAACACGGAACGAGCGTTCTGAACAAAACCAGCAGAGACCGATCGAAGGCTAGCTAGGGCTAGGGTTGTGGAGGAGAGGGTAGTTGGCGTTTGCAAGGGAGAAGTAACTGTGGCACGAGCATGCATAAATGAGGAGCAGGGAGAAAGGGCATCCATGCATGCATCGATCGGTGGTGGAAGGACTGGGACAGCACAGGGAGAGAATATGGGGGGGCAGCCTTGCATTTAACACAACACGCACAGCGCAGTAGATGGATGGATGAGCGGACGGACGGACGGAGGAGGAAGACGAATGGCATCGTTTTCGGACAAAGATTCCCCGCATTCACTCCCCAGGCTCCAGAACTAGGGTGCAGCGGCAGCTCTGCTTGCCCTGCCTGCAGCAGCCACCCATCCCCATGCCGTTTGGTAGCTGTAGCTTTCATCCATCATTCATCCATCGTCCTCCACCATCTCGTCAGTGGACAGTGGTCACCCTCGCTCCACCTTCACTCTCCGTCTAGGGCTGTCAACCAGTCTTCTTTGCGATATAAATCTCACTTCCATAGTTCTTTGAAAGAAAATCATGATTGTTTGGGAATTTTGTGCAATATAATCTCACTTCCATAGTTCTTTGAAAGGAATTCTTTCTTCTTTGCGAGGCACAGTAAAAGAAAAGAAAATAAAAGAAAAGGTTGAGATTCCTTTTGCTTTCTCAAGGTGAAGTCCAGAAGATTTTCTGGAAATGCTGGGTAGCCTGGTAGGTAGTTTCTGTTATGGTCCTTGGACGCTTGCTGGTTGCAAGGTGTGAGCAAAAGGAATTCAAAATTGATGCAAGTGTGGTCGCCCCGGAAGTTGCAGGAGGGAGGGGCGCGGTGCCCCCGGCCGGCCGGCTGCCGCTGCACTGCATGCATCCAGGGACCAGAGAACAGCTGGTCCAGTCCAGTGTGTCAAACACACACAGGCCGGCCTGCAATTCGAAAACATCCAAACGGTGTTCCATTTTCTTTGGCTCCGACCAAATCTGAAGCCTCGCTCCCATACCATACTACACTTGATAATGGCGAAGAAGTTAAGGTTGGCAGACTCGATCGGCAACACGATGGTCGAGGTGGGTTCGGTTAATTTGAACAATAAATTTACAGAGGAAGTTAAATGCTCAGCACATGCTCGACTACTGTCGACGCTACTGCAGCCTCGATTCGCTATTATGGTTGGTCAGAGAGGGGGCTGACAGTAGTTGCCGTACTTTAGAACTCCACAATGTCATTCCACTCCCACCATATACAGTACAGCTAGCTCGATCGATAGTAAAATCCAAAGGAGTAGCTAGAACCCATCTTTCATCGCACATCAAGCTGCATGTGTTGTGACCTTTTCCTTTGGCTTCACGTGTCTGCATCCGATCCCGGGAAGACACTAGGTATTCAGTGGTGATCAAGAACTAGTATGGTCCAGTATTCTGTATCACCGGGTCCGGGAAGAAAAGGGTCGGTCTCGTCGGTAAATTCACTGCTCCGATCAGTGGTGCATGATATTGGTGCTCTGAAGAACAACACTAAGGACGTGATTGGTTGCTTTGGTGAGGGGGAGTCGGGACGGAGAGCTGGTCTAGGATGGTGAGATGCATGCTCAAACCGTACACTCAGTCGTGTTTGGTTGTCTTTGTTATTGGTCTAGTATGAGACGACTTCTTGTTTGGTTGCATGCATAGATGTGGGTTTTGAGTGTATGACACATTGGTCCTGGGCCATGCGTCGTACCACACCATCCCGGCTTGTATGGCAAGCCCGATTTCTGCGTACGCTGCGAGCCTGCACCAGGGGCCTCAAATGCACGGTCCGATGCATCGATTTCGTTCGGCACATGGAACTAAACACAGAGATAGTGCATGACATGATGCCAGATGACGCTTTGGACGGCTCCATCGGGGCTACCAATCACGCCCTAAAAAAACCTTGTATCGCGATTCTAAAGCACTGTTTAGTATCTGCAGCAGTAAGAACAGTGAGTGTATTATTGCTGAAAGATATATATACGAGACTTATTACATTGCCATCGATCCGTTTTGAGGCAGAATCAAGCTGCGCTGCAGAGATGTGTACCCAAAGATTCATGGACGGCACATGGTTACATTTACATACGTACTGTACTCTACATACGAGCACGCGTTGCATTCATATACGTGGCCTTTATACTTGCCCTATTTATTTGGCTGATAAGTCATGGCTGAAAGTACTGTCGGTTGATTTGTTGTAAGAAAAAAATATTATTCGTTAGCTAAAAAAGTACGATTTATAAACCAAGCAAATAGAGCGACTGCTGATGAGGGGAATCTGAATCTGTGCCTAGTTTAGCTTTTGAATGAATTCGCAACAGTAAGGTAGGTTGATCATGTACGGATCGGAGGGAGCCCAAGCCATCCAATGAGAGAGAGAGAGACTATGGCATGCAGTCCGGTGCCAAGATGAGGCGCACACATTGATGGATCCAAATCTTTTACTACTAATGTACAGGAGGGATCCGCGGTCATTGATTTGCAGTCATTGATCAGGAGGGAGGGGTAGCGCGATTCAGGATCAGGACAGGGTTTATATTACAGAGGAGAAGAGAAGGGGCGTGGTGAGGTCAGATCTTCTTGTACTTGTGCCAGCAGATGAGCATGGCCACGCAGCGCCGGAAGATGTAGAACCGGGACCGCTGCCCCCGCGCCACCGCCAGGCACCCCCTCCTCCCATCGCCGCCAACGCCGCCGGCCGCCGGCTCCGGACGGGACGCGCACTGCCCCATGCGATGCGGCTCTTTCGACCTCTCTGTCTCTCTCGATCTTCTCCCGCTCCGCCCAAGAACTGCTAACAGTCCTCCCGGCTCCCGCTCCTGGACACGGCGAACGCAGGCGGGACGGAGCAATCGAGCAGAGAGGTCTCCGATGCAGATACCAGAGGATGTGAGAGAAGAGGAGAGGCGCGCGCGCGCCCCTAGTTTTCGCCGCCGCATCGCGGACAACGCGGGCCCTCGCGGGGGTTGTTTGGATTGGATAAACCGTGTACGAGGTGGGCCGGTGGGGCACACGCGTCAGGGGACGTGGCCACGTGGGAGGAAGGTGCCCGGGCCCCTGGTGGCTCAAAATCTTCTAGAAGAAGAAGACCAACAACCGCGTGAGTTGTGACGTGGGTAGCGACGGCTCCCGTCGTGTCCGAAACGGTCATGGTGATGATGCATCGGGACGGGTTCTGATTTCTTGAATGTTTGATTGAATTGAATTGATCTCAGAGTAAAATACACTGTAGGTCCTCAAACTATTAAATCAACTATCTAGGTCGTTGATCTATTTCCGTGGCACACACAGTGTCTAGATGCAGCCACGTCAGCCACGTAATCCGACGTGGTCGTGCCAGAGTGGCAAATGAAGGGCGAGGTCATGCCAATTTAGCAGAAAAGCCCCGCCAATGTTCTGTTCATTAGTTGGTACTCCGGCCTTCTCTTCCCCAATCTTCTTCAGGCTGCTCGCCGCCCGCCGCCCGCGGCCGCTATCTCCGGTCCGGCCGCCCACGCCCGCATTCTTCGGTCTGCAGCGCCTCCACGCAGTCTGCGATGTCGCTCGGCAGCTCGTCATCCGCGCAGAGGGTTGGGCCCATGAGATTGGGTGCGCGCACTGGGCTGCCCCTTGTGCCGTGCCCTAAATGCGGCGAGGAGATCCTCGAGCTCACTTCGGGTCCAGGATCTAAGGTCCCGGGGGCCATCTTCTTCAAGTGCCAGCTCCATGAGAGAGATGCAAGTGCCGACCTCTTCAATTGTTCCCTCCCTGTTCAACAGCGATGATACTCTTGTTGTAGTCTTACTGTACAAATTGCAGGACTCTACAACTTGCCCTTGGTATTTGTTTGCCGACAAGTATGAGAAGCTGCTGATTGTCAAGGGATTGGTGGAGAAGAGAGGGACTGCTGACGCCAGCATTAGGCAGGAGGATTCCATGAATGAAGTTGAGCAGATCAAGATTACAATTGGACGCTTAGAGGGAGTAGTGGAAGCAAACAAGACTAAATTGACACCTTTGCTTGCTGATGTAGTGTATCTAAAGAATGGAAGTGATAGAGTAGCTGAAAAGCTACAGAAGTTGGTAGACCTAGAAAAAATTGTAGTAGTGTGCCTTGTAGTTGCTGCTGTTTTTCTTGTTCTGGGTGTAATAACCATGTTTTCCATGTAGAAGTGGCAGCTTAGTACCTCTACTGAACCATGTGTTCAAGTATGTTTCAGTTTACAAGCTGTAATAACCATGTTCATGTTCAATGAATGGAATATGAGTTTGTATCAATGCAAGTATGTTTTAGTTAGCTTTTATGCAATTCTCTTGCACCAAATGACAGAAGTTGATAACATGGTGACATAGATCAGATCACTGGAATTTCATTGTCAATTCAGTCACTGCAGTTACATATCATAGTTTAGGCCATTAGTTCTTTGACCATCGGTCACTGCAGTTACATACCATAGTTTAGGCCATTCCTTCTACCACCCTACTGTTTGCATTGCAAATGATCTATATATCTATGATCACTTCACAAAAGGCAAGCTTAGCTGCTTGACAAAAGGCAGCCATTGCTGCTATACAAAAGAAACAGTAGCTGCTACACAAAAGTAAGACACCACACTGTCTTCACTTCTCACCATTTGTCCCTTTCTTGGACTTGGATTTGGCCTTGGCTGCCTTCTTCTTCTTCTCTGTAGGTACCCTGTTGGCCCTCACAATCTTGGATGCTGTTGTAAGTGGCATGTGTCTTCTTTGGTGGGAGATTGGGTGATGTAGGCACTGTCTGAATAGGTTGTCTCACTTTGCAGGTTTGCCTCATGCCTTGAGCGTACTGCAACAATGGGATCCAATTATTAGTCTTACAAAGGAGAAAAAATAGTGCTAGGGAGTCGGGAAGAAGGTGTTGCCTCATCTTGCAGTTGTGACACCATTGGGTTCTCCAAAGTTGACATAAGTGGTTGTGTTACACTTTCTTGAGTTCATCTCCTAAAGAAAGTTACAAATGAGTTTCATATAATGTCATCCAATTAAGCATTTGGTTGGTTTTGCACAAACTTGGACAGTGGCAGGTTGTTGGCTGGAATGTTGATCTGGCACAGATGGACTAGCTTTCTTCCTTGATTTTTTTCACTGCTGGTTCTCCTACTTTCTTTCTCTCTCACAGTTCTTTGAGTTGTGCCCGAGGTTCTCCACAAAGGACTACAATGCATGGTTACTCCATATTTGGTTAGTCTTGGCCCATTTGGTCCACCAACTTCATGTCTGCTTTCCTTCTAGCTTTAGGTGACCTTCCAACCCTTTTTTCATACACAGGTGGTTGACCTTGTGGGCCACCAACCTTTTCCCAAGTGGACTTGTCATTGCATGGGTGAATGTAGCATCCATATGCCTTCTTAAAAGCTTGATGAGAGTAACACTGATAAGACTTGACTCCTCGGGTATCCTCTCATGCCTCGTGCAAGAAATTGCATGATTGCAGGTATACTGTCAAGCTCCACCTCTTGCAATCGCAATGCCTTCCTCCAATGTCTACATTAAATTGCCACTCCCCTGTCATGAACCTCAAATACACCACTCCCACTTGGTATTACATAGCATGTGTTGGCCATCTCTGCATGTCTTGCCAATTTCTTCCTGATCTTTGGACAGATCAGCATCCCTCCCCATTTCTCTTGCACTTCTTTTTGTTTGTTGTAGTGCCTGGCCATGAGCTGTCCCTTGATCCTTTGCAGCATGCTTAAGATAGGAAGTTCTCTAGCTTCTAAAATGTACTCCAAGCCAGTCTTCTAGCTCTAGATAATTTGTTCCTGGATGGGGTCAAATTTAACTCCAGCTACACTGTCTTTGCAAAATTTGACAAACTCATCTTCTCATCAGCTCTGAACCTCTCTACATATTTGTTGGCAAGCCATTTTGTAGTACACCTTTTCAATACCCATTTTTTCTGACATGTGTGAGTCCCAACATAAGTCTTGATGACAAAACAGTCCACCCTTTTGTCTTCTGAAGCATATAAGTACCATGGACATTCTTCGTCACAATGAGCTTTGATTCTAGTCCTATCATTCTTGGACATCTTTATCTCCACTCTATTCTTGATACTATATTCAGTAATTGCCTTTCTAAGCATCTCTACTGAATCAAACTTCATGCCAACTTTGAAAATCAGGTTCTACAAATCTTCAGGTCTGAAACTTCTCATGTTCTGCCCAGCCCTACCCTCTTCACCAGATTCTGGTAGCTCTGATTCTTCTTCATCAGAGTCCAACTCATCCCATTCTTTGCCTACTGGTTCATTGTCTACTGGGCCAAATCTTTTCCTCCCTGATCCGACCATTATCCCCTTTGCAACACCCTCATCAACCACACCTTCATCAACATCATCACAAAAAAGGTCATCATCATCATCTCGAACTGCATAGTCACTGTCAACAAAATCAACATCTGAACTGCATTCACTGTCATCACCATCAGCACATTTTGTCCTAGCAGGGGCAGGCACCTTTGAAGGACTAATCACTTTGGGTAAGGTTGCAATTGGGTTGTACACAATGTCCTCCCGCTTGTTGCCATCAACGATGATTGTAATGGTCCATATAAAGCACATAATTTTGACCTTAAATGCAACTTGCTTCATTATCTCGTGCTTCTTTATCCGATGCAATCAAACGCAAACCGGTTGACAAGTCCTGCTCAGGCAACAACCACCACACTGGAACACCCAGATCATAACCTAGCACCACTGATATCTCATCTACTGCATTAAAAGATCAGTACAGCACTTTGATATTATCGAACCAATCGACCTTGCCATCGATGTACACTCGATCAACACCGCAAACGTAAAAATCCATTATGATGCACTTCCACGTAAAACTCTTCATCGTGGCCCTAAAGAACGAAAAATAACCCTAAAATTAAGCTAATCGAATCGGAGCATATCAAGCAAGCCTACCGCACCAACTACTACGCCTCCAAATTGATCCGCATGCAGATAGCATTGAGTATAGGATACAGCTCTAGGGCACTTACCATAGGTTGGAGCCAGCTCCCCTTTCAATCGTCGACGCCCTGCCATGGTGCCGTCGCGCCGCAATTTGTGCGGCCGGGCGGCACCCACCGCAGAGCTCGTTGACACCGACATTGGTGGGGCCGCGAGTTCGCCGCAGCCCCGGCCCGCCCTCGTGATCTCTCCCTGCCTGTGAGTTCGCCGTCGCCTCGGCCCGCCCTTGCCTTCTCTCGGCTAACAGAGATTGGGGGAGAGGGTGGCTGCAGTTGAAAGTAAGGAAGACAACGTTCGCGGGGGTTGATAAAATGCGATGACCTCGCCCTTCATCTGCCACTCTGGCACGGCCACGTCGGATTATATGGCTGACGTGGCTGCATCTGGACCGTGCGTGTACCGTGGAAATAGATCAGAGATCTAGATAGTTGGTTTAATAGTTTGAGGACGTAGATAGAAAGGAGCCAATAGTTTGAGAATCTACGGTGCATTTTACTCTTGATCTCAGGTCTCGAGTTCTGGCCTCTGGGCGGCGTGGGCGTGCTCGCGAAATTTTGGGATCCATCGGCGCGGCCGTAATGTATCAGGTTTCGGGCCAAGTAGCCCAGTTTAACCATCAGCGTGGCTAGCGCTGGCCTTTTTTCGTGCAAGCGTGTTGGGCCGAGCCAATTCAAAGGACTAGCTTAGGACCCATGTTCCATCGCACAAGCTGCATGTGACCCTTTCCTTTGGATTCACATGTCTGCATCCGATCCTGGGAAGACTCTGGTAGTGTGCTCCAGTATTTCTGTATAACCGGGTCCGGGAAGAAAAGGGTCGTCAGTAAATTCACTACTCCAATCAGTGCATGGTATTGGTGCTCTGAACAACACTAAAAAAAACATCTATCGCGATCTGAAGCACTGTGTTAGTACCTGCAGCAGTAACAGCAGTGAGTGTATTATTGCTGGTATATACACGATGCCATTTCGAGGCAGAATCAAGCAGCGCTTTCTCTGCACTGCAGAGATGTCTACCGAAAAGATGCATGGACTGCACATGGTTACCTACATACGAGCACGCGTTGCATAATTTGCATTCATATACGTGGCTGATCATATCATAAACTCTCTTCGGATCTTCCATTTGCAGATATCTACTCTCTAGCTAGGCAACTCTATAGGCAACTCTGGTGCCGTTCGCTGGTCTGGTTTCCAGACCAGCCGGCTGGTTCCTCCTCTGGTATTATTTTGGCCATGATTTTCTCTCTCACAACAACCCACATAAAGTGTTTTTTTGCTTTTTTCCGGACAAGCGAACGGGCTCAGGCAATTGTGCTACCGCCCGCACGCTCGCTCGGCAATGGCGTGGCTGCCGATGCCGCCGCTTGCTTGTGTTCTCCACGAGGGTTATTTTGAGACAGAGTTATTGAATTGAGGGGTTCAAACAAAAATTACGAGGAACTGAACGTGTATGGACACGCGGTACACTACATAAAAAGTTTAGGAACATAAAAATATATTTTAAGAGTTGATGGACCAGATGACACCCTTCCAAAAATTAATAGACCTATGGTATATTTTACTCTTCTCACAAATATTTGGATAATAATCGCGTATCATCTTTTGCCCATTGATTAGGAACTCAATCGATGATTTCAAAAAAAAAGGAACTCAATAGCTTATGAAATGGCCTCCTCGCAAAACAAAACAAAAAAATTTCTCAAATGGCCTAAAAGGATATTCTGAAAGAAACTTTTATCAACTGATCAAAATAAAGGTAGGTGATGCCAGTGCTGGCCCTGGAGAGGTGCCAAAGGTGCGACGCCCGAGGGCCCATGGGAGTGAGGGGCTCAGGCCCTAAGTATATGATACCCAGCCCTTACTACGTAGAATACCGTGTACGCGAGCGTGGTGCGCCGCAGCAGCCGAATGCGAAGAGGCAGAGGAGTCACGGAGGGACGGAGCCGCCGCAGACTCGACTCACCTCTCACGGAGTCACAGAGACACGGAACAGATCACACATCAGGACCGCGCACGTCTAGCCCACGATCAGGGGGCAGACCGGCACCCGGCAGAGCACTCTAGGGCCCAGGCTGGCAAGCTCGACTTGATCAGCCGATCTGCAGTCTGCAGCCGATCATCACTTCATCAATCATCAGTTCATCAGCCGCCGATCAAGCCATAGCCCCTAGGTATTTTTTTCCTTGATCGTTTTTTAATCTAGTTGATGCAGTGTTGTGCCTAATGGTAATCCTATAGATGCACTTGATATTGAAGAACAAGGGCAGCAACAAGTTAATGATAATTTAAGTGAAGAAGTTGATGCCAATGATGATGCTATAAAAAATAAAAATTTACAGCCTTCCCCTCAACCTGAAAATTCAATTGATGATGTGCAATAAGCTTCTATTCATGATGTCTTTGATCTAGAACTTGGAGAAATCTTGATAATAAGGGTAGAGATATATTGATTGAAAAGGGTCCGATGAGAGAATTGAATCTTGAGTTCCCTGTAGATGCTCTTAATAAATGTTTTTCATACGTTTACTACTCCAGAAAGTTAACCAATGGTAAGGCGGTCGATAGAAAATGGTTGGTTTACTCTAAACATGTGAACAAAGTTTTTTTTTTGTTATTACTACAAATTGTTCAAGTCTAGTCAAAGCAAAAGTTTGCTAGCACATGATAGATTTATATATAATCTGGACAGTTATATTATATAAGATTTATAAATAGTCGTCACGATGAGTTCACCGTAGGATCCTCAAAATCCTAAGCCTAGGACCGGCACTGGGTGATGCTGATGCAGGTCATGTTAATGGGCATCTAAGCACTCATGTATTGGTTTCTGGCCGGATAAGCTCAACCGATTGCGAGAGAAATTGCTGATAAGCCCCGAACAAGCTAACAGGCTGACTGTATACATGCCTGGCAAGGCGCGGGGACGGGGACGGGGACGGGACGGGTCGCGGCGTCAGATGCGGCTCCAGCTGCGCCTCCGTTGAGGCGGCGCGGCGTCTGGTGGGCCTCCTTCCGCGGAAGGGCTCCCCCGCTCGCCGCCTGAAGAGCAGGTCGCCGCCGGCGTAAGTGCCCTCTCGCTCGATTCTTCACTCCATCAACGCTAGTTCCCCCCAATCCTTCCTTCCTTCGGTGGATCGATACATGGAGAACCTAACCCAAGTCCACTGTTCCACAGGTCGCCAGAGAAGCAGCCGGTCACTCCCCCCTCACCCAATGGGAGCCCCACTGCCACCTGCACAGTACAGCAGCCCCGGGGAAGATGGTTCCAGCCGCGCCTCCGTCGAAGCTGAGAGTCCTCCACGCGACATCAAGCGCTCCGTCGACGACGAGCCTTCCCCCACTCGCCGAGTCAAGAGCAGGTCGCCACCGGAGTAAGTACCCTCACAGACTCTTAATTTCGTCCAACCCACCCCCAATTCTGCATTCGATTGAGGTACACGATCTTTGCTCGCTCACATGTGCTTAATCTGACCCTACGTCCTTTTGCAACTGGTTCAATGATCTGCAGGTCGCCGCAGAAGCAGCTCGTCGCACTCCCCCCACCTGAGGCCGCAGCGGGAGTCACCCTCCACCCACCCGAGGTTGGGACCCCTGCACAGCACGGTGGCGCTGGGGAGGATGGTACTGAAGACGGATCAATTGCCGAGTTAGGTATCAAACTATTTCCTTGTCTCCCACGTGACCAAGCAGCCGCTCTGTGGGTTGGTTTTGTCAATGATGCCAAGACCTGCATCAAGCAATATAACATCAAGCATAAGGTAAGCTGTTTCATCTATTGCATAGTGCCACCCTCGCACACATTTCGATATGTCGGCTATTCATTTATTTCTATATGTCGATTATCTTGCACACTATTGTTCCTGAGACATCTATTTGATCAAACATGTGCTAGTACAACTAGCAAACCTCGCATGCATTGCTGCGGGTTGTTGTCAGTTAAAACTGAAACCAAGGCTTAGTCATTGCAGACTACTAGTTCTTTTGGCTAGATGGACAACCAGCAAATTTTCGCGATCGCTGTAGTCTGTAGCTATGTCTTAAAATGATGTAAGCATCAGCTGAAGGGCGCAGACATGTACGGTGTACCAGCAGGATGCAACTCTCATTTTAGGGTTAAAAAAGAATATAGCATCTAGAATGAAATCTAAGAAGTTACAAAAACAAACTTACAGCCCGGCTTAGCCGCCTAGATAATAGTATTTCGATTACCCTTCACAAGCATGTAAGTTGTAATCTGCTGCTGCCCCTCTCTTTTGCTGCACAGCAGGGGTTGGCAATGGTCAGCTCTTGCTGTCCTATTGAGGTATGGCAATAGGCCATCACCTCCTTGTACTAGCTGTACAATTAGATATGGCAATAGGCCACTAGATGTAGTGGCATACATCAGCCATACATAGTTGGTAGATGCTGATTTCAGCCATGTACTAGTAGTACTAGGAGTAGTTGAGGCTGTACCCAGCCATACTCTAAATCAGCATGACTGAGGCTGCTTATAGTAGTACTAGGAGTAGTTGAGAAAGAAGTACTATAAGCAGCCCCAGCCCAGCCATACATAGTTGAGGCTGCTTATAGTTGGTACAGCAATGCAATATTCAGTTCAGTTTCCAATTCAGTTTCAGAGCTCAAGTTCAGAGCTCTTGTGTGTGCTGTGTGTGCTCTGTGCTCACCCCCTTCTTCAACCTCTAGCCAAGTGTGAGTGAGCTTGTAAGCTAGCTGCTTGCCTGTACAAGGAGATCGAGGGCCAACAAAGCATGCTACCGAATACGCTATCTTGTTTTTCTTAAAGATGATTACATATACTTGATGTGTTAGCTCTACCTTTATGTCCCAAAAGCTTGCACATGAATACTGATAACGCATGAGCTCCATACTTCAAGCACAAATGATAAGACACTGATTATGCATAGCAGAAAAACAAAGGTTAACCAGGGTGCTACCTGAAGAAACATGATCAAAATTACAGAGTACAAATTATTTGTTGGAAAACATGAATAAGCTATTCCTGCAAAAAAGTATTGTCTGTATCGTATTATCTAGCAAAACCTGATACCTTAGTGATAACCAAATACGGTGTGTATTAAGTGTTCATCATTGGTCGGAATACCATGTTATTCAGAAATGTTCCTCAGACTTTGTAAGCATTGGCACAGATTGCTCAGCTGTCTCTTCAAAACCAAACATTTAATTTCAGCCATATAGAGACTCCATAATTTTTTTCTTCTTCTTAAGTATTGACCATGGTGCAGAATACAGATAAAAACATTATCACACAATTTAATCAGAGAGGGTATTCCAGATGATAGCTCCAAAATGCAGTCAACAAACTTAATCAGAGAGATTATTCCACATGAGAGCTCAAATAATCAGAGACACGATTCCAGATGACAGCTTCAGATTATACAACAAAGTAGGAAATGGAGAAGTAAAGGCAATTATAGAACACAGAAAATAACATCACCAAAGTAGGGATGTTGGCAAAGATGTGAACGTATGAACCGGCGGAGAGGTGTGTAGCGGGGCCATTTGAGAGCAGGAGCAGGGGCGAGGGCAATGCGGAGAGGTCGAGGGGATGGTTTTCAGTAGGACAGGATGAGCGAAGATGCACTTGAAATCTATGATGCCCAGATATGGATACATGTATCGGATAAGACACGATACGGACACGTGGATTCGCCATTTTTGAAAACATGCTGACATGTGGACACGGCTAATATATTATAATACTAATAAATATATAGGGATAATAAGTAGCAACAGTGTTGAGTAAGAAAGCAACTTCAAATAAGAAATCTAGTGACTTAAAGTACATAACAAACTTAAATATATTAATGCAACAGGAATGATTAAGTGACTAAATGATGCAAAATAGAGCAACTTTTAGTCTTCGACTCTCCATACAAGTATCCACTGTGTTTTGTGCAAGTATCGGTATCGGATACGTATCCGATACGGGATACAGCACCTCCTTGCTGTATCCGTGCATCAGAGCTTGAAAAGACTGGATACTTGGAAAATTGATTAAATTCACCTTAATTGCATCATTTTAGCTATACATGACATTCTGAATGTACATATCAAGTTACTAATAATAATTAAGCCTCTATATTTCTTTTGTAGGTCAACTTTGTGTACAAGCATGAACCAAGTAATGTGTTCTACAGGGTTGAAGAGCAAGATGGCCGTGCTTACTACCACACGAACTTCTATGCTCAGGATGAGTATGGACACTCACAGCTCTTCTTTGGGGAGATCAAAGAATGTGTTAGGCCTCAGGTGGAGGATGTCACCTGCTGTTGTCCCGTCTCGTCTTCTGATACTGGTATATAATTTGTGCCTTCTCAGTTGGTCCATATGCTTTTATATAATTGGTACAATGGATCGTTCTTTATGTTTAGATTAAGAGTAAATTTTACAAAATTAGAATTATCTTGACATAATACCCCCACGGAACTACGACCTTTTTGACATGTACCATAGACCTACAACTACTTTGACATATAGGTTACCAAAGAACTGCAGTTTCTGTTACCAACGTCGTGGACCCCACTTGTCGGTGTCACAAGCAACTAACAGCGCCGGTTTCTGCGAGTCATGTCACCTATCCAATTGCGCCTTATCGATGTTATAGTATGACCGCCATCACTGCCCAACTAATAGCTCCATGGCAATTGATGTCGATATTGTGCAAATCTATACTGAGCTGGCAATATATTCTTGAAATGTGTTTTTGAGCCAGATATTTGTTCATGGAATCCTTATGACCCCCCACCCCACCCAAAAAAAATATATTTATAAGCAAGTTCATTTGAGATAACTCTGATGTTGACCATAAAAAATAAGTGATGCTTTCAAGTTAACCATGCAATTGTTTAGGTGACATGGGTTCAGTGTTATGTAATGAGATCGCTTCCAGCTAGCAAAATAATCCTAAGTTGCTATTAGTCTTGAAAGCATGCCTACTCCAATACTTGGCTGGTATTTTGTTAAGCCATTCAAATGCCTTTTCATTTGCATCTTTTAGATTTTCCATTGCAATCTTGTAGTAAAATTCTGTATAAACATATACGGCAGCATAAAAAAACCATCCCCATCTAGAGATGAAGCCAACACAGAAGAGTTTGTGTGCCTTTTATTTTCACATGAGTTTCACAAAGTTTATTAACATGATCGAATTTGGTTGTTCTTACCATGCTGTGCTCCATTTTCAATAGCTTCTTCTAGCATCTAGCTGAACCACACCCAGTTTTCCTTATCCTCCTCGCCTACGATACCAAATGCTACAGGAAACAGTTATTATTGCCATCCCTTGCAGTTGCAGCCAAAACCTGAGCCCCATTGCTAACTGTCACAAAGCAGCCATCAACATCTACAAATGGCCTACAACCATTTAAAAAGCCTTGTATCTGAGCATTAAGGCACATGAAAAGGCCAAAAAGAACCTTGGATTTAAGCCCTGGCTAATCCTGCTTACTGCGGCGACTCTAATATGGCTACCTGGATTCTTGTCAAGTACAGTATGAGTAGTCCCTAATCCTCCTATACTGCTCCTTGTGGTTACCTAACATTGTCTTGCAAGTTTTAGACCTTGTTCTATAATCCATGTTCTTGGTTATCTCCACTCCATGCTTCCTGTACACCTCATCCATGAGAGCTGTAACCTTCCAAAGAGGGTCACTCCTTATTTGTACTTCAAAGCAATGGATTCACTGCTTACTCTGCTACTCTCAGTGGTACCACATTTATGTGGTTCAACTAGCTCCCTAATCACAACAGTGGACTCCTTGCAATAGTACATGCTGTCATGTAGAAAGGACAATTCTCTTCTTCTCATTGCACAATAACTCTACGAGGTTCATTTTGCAAAAAACTATAATCTCTACCCTGCGCATTAAGACTTGAAACCCCTCCTAAGTTGCTTCATATCAGTAAAGCATGGACCCTTGCAGAATTTGGGATGGATCAAGCTTGTTCATTGTACCATATCCTCACAGCCCTTGGCTGCTTCCTCCTCATTCCTTTTCTTCCCTACTTTCACAGCACCACCATCATCATCTGAATCTAAGCTGTCTCCATCTCCTTCACTGGGTGGATCTGAGATAGCTCCTCCATCAGTAGAAACAACTTCAGTAGCATTTATAGCTTTCTTACATCTCCTTTTAGTCAGCGGTTTTGAGGAGGTTGCCTCATCGCACATGGGAGCATCCATGGGTTGCAAGTTTTCCTTGTTTGGTCCACCAACATCCTCCTTGACTTGGCTGTTTGGGACAAACAAATCTTCAATGTCTGTATCACCTTCACAATGTTCAGAACTTCAGATGGGTCTGCACGACTGTTCTGCATCTCTACCAGGTGCCTCCTTAGCTCATTCCTCTCCCAGAATCAAATCACTAAAATCCTCACATGACTCCTCTTCGGACTCATCATTTGAAATGTCATCTTCCTGCTCAACTACAACATTCTAAGGGACAACACCTGGAACAGTCTGGTAGAATTTCACTGGCGAGACATGGGACCACTTGCTTTCCTTTTCATCAGGACAATGCTTATTTTCCTTAGATCATCATAACGCCTCATCATCTCTGTCACATCTGCGTCTGAAACAATGCTGCAAAGATTTGCTAAGCTTTCTTCTACCACCCCTCTCTTGTAGTAAATGTAATCAACTGAACTACCCATCTTCTTTGCCATAGCCAACAAGTTGAAGAAACAAATCCAACCATGGTTCATTTCCCTGATCACCATGCCTGGACCTGTCACGGGCTCATCGCAGTACACTTTGAGCTCATCTTTCCTGAGAAAAAGCACCAAACAACCAATTTTAGGGAAACCCCAAGAATCTGCCACAAATTGATTCAACAAACAGGTGCAGCACATCAGCAAATCAGTATACCCTAAAGTGGCTTTATTCACATTGGAACACAGAACAACAGGTATTAGCCCTATTTCGTGCACAAATTCACCTTGCATCTCTTGAGTTAAGGTAGAACCAGGCAAAAAGGGGTGACTGACCTGCTATTCCATGCGCTGCTCCCGCCGCTCGTAGAACCAGCGCCGCTGGAGTTCATCCCACCACTGAGGTCCATCACCAAGTCGAAGCTTCGGCTTGCTGCGGTCCACTGCCTCATCGTGATCGTTCGCCTTCTCTTCTAAGTTTGGGGCAAGATGGGGGTGCTGCTAGGCGCGACTCACAATGCTGCAACCTCACGCACAGATGGGTAAGATCCCCCACCATAAGTGCTTGCTTGCTGGGCTGCGAGCAGCCTACAAGGCCACCGACCACATGAGCCGCCAACATGGATAGATGACGTGGCTTGTAGAAAAGAGCACTTTTAGTTGCTTGTGACACCGACAAGTGGGGCCCACGACATCAGTAATGGAAGTTGCACAAAAGTTGGTAACCTCCTTAAGAATAGTTGCAGGTTTATGGTACATGTCAAAAAAGTTGTAGGTTTGTGAGTATTATATCAAAATAATTGTAGTTTTACTCTTAGATTACTGAACAATTTTTTAGCATATATGTTGGTTGTGGTAATCAGTTTAGGGTCCAAACTATCTTTTATGCAAAGGGGGAAAATACAATCTTTGTTTTGGTTTCAAGCATGGTTCACTGTTGCAACATCACAGACCATAGTATCTGGGCCACAACTTCGATATCACCTTGTTGTGATATTGGCCCTGTTTAGCAAAGCTCCAGCTCCAGAAAATCTTGGATTTCTTGGAGCTACTCCTATCTAGCTCCAGAAATTCATGGATCTGGAGCTGTAGATGGATTAAAGGTATTTGATTAAGTCATTTTATTCTTATTTTGAATTTTAAGAGCCTGCATGGGTCCTGAGAAAAGTGTCAGTGGCAAGCCTTACCCTCGCTTGTGCAATGCGAGGAGACCGCGACTCTAACCCGGGACCTTCCGGTCATAGGCGGTAAGACTCTACCGCTTGCACCAGGCCCGCCCTTCTTTGAATCTAAAACAAAGATCTAAACATTTTATTTTGGCTTGCAAACTCAAAATCCAGCATGGATCTTGGAGCTGGAGCTTTGCCTTGTGTAAAATCACTTTATCACCTCTGTAAAAGAAATGTTTTCAGAATCTCTTGTGGAACCATAGTTACTGCCTTACTGGTGTTGTACAACTGTAGTTGCAGTCCACTCGTGGCTGGAGCTTATTCTATCATAAGTGACGTATCATGAGAATGCATGTCGTTTAGGTAGGCTGTGGTCTTTCTGACATACTCTGATATAAGGTAGTGTGAATATCATTCTTTGTTTTCTCCTTTTCCGTGTCCTAGGTCTTAGCTTCACCACGAATGTAGGGTGTATATTGTCACTGGGTTTTCTCCCAATCCCTTTACGAAAAGTAGGGTGTTTTTCTCCCAATCCCTTTACGAACGTAGGTTGTTTTTCTCTCAATCCCTTTACGAAAAGTAAATTCTAGGTCGATGCATTATTAAAATGATGAAATATCTTGTCTGCTTGCAGGTGGTGTAGGTTTCCGAACTGTGGAAGAGGCTCTGAAGTACGATTTCCCAGATTTGAGCAAGGTTGGCTATGATGCAGAGAATTGTTACGCGTGCAGTGCAAGAGTGAAGCATCCAAAGGGGACCTTGTATGTTGGAGGACATTTTGCCGATGTTAGACAGTATTATGGTTTCAGTGACTAATGTTTTGGGTTTGCAAGGGCCTGTTCGGCAGGACTTATTTGCAGCTGGCTGTGGCTGTTTCATAAAGTTCCGGCCAACATTTATTCTCTTCCTTTTCTTTTCATTCTGTTGTTTTCAGATTTGAAAGGCATATATAAGGAAAGCATGCAGATAGTTTGACAAAGTAAGAGAAGGTTTTTGGGGTGCATTGCGTGTTAAGATAGTTTTCAGTTTTGTTGTCAGATTTGGAAGACACGTCCAAGGAGAGGATGCAGAAAGATTACAAGGTAATAAAAGATTATTAGTTATATAAGACAGTTTTTAGATTTAGAAAGCACATCCAAGGAGCAAAACAGTCCTGTGATGCCTGCTGTTCTCCCCTGTGAAACACAAAACAGATAGCATACAAAGTATGCAAAATAGATGAAATGTGTACTGACATTGTTAAGATGAATACAATACATCAAGAATTACTATTGCTGCTTACCTAAATCTATTAACAATAGTGACGAACTGATAATCCATTTGGATCACAAGGTATATATATATCCTGAGCTGGGCCAGCTCCATCAAGGGCACGGCAAAGCTGCGCCTATGTTTCTAGTTTCTTTCGAATTCTTTTGATGTCTGTTCTCATGCAAGATACTCTTTATCCAAATGGAATCCTGAAATTTCCCAACCCAATACCCATGCTACAAAACAGTATTCTTCCCTCCACTCGTTCTGCATACTTTCTTTTTCGCTTGAGATGGTGTTCTTGTACCAACATGTTCCTCTTCATCCCCTGAGTTGGTACAGTGAATCAAATAGGAAAAAAGACAAACAAGTTCAGACTTCGCGGTAACATACTGAGGAAAGACGGAAACAACACGAGACTAGGGAAAGCAATGTAGATGAAGTGTCTGGTTAAGTACCTCCAGGTTTGGATGAGCTGCCGATGATGTTAGTCTCGAAGTTTTCGGGTTCTCTCGTGGAGAACACATACCATTTCCTTGGATTGGGTCCATCACGCGCGTAAGCACTGACTTGCTGGATATGTTTCACCTTGTCCCACTCGGTGCCAGATTGTGCAGTGGCTATGGAAGTGAGCAGTGCTCGACTGCAGTCCAGTAGGAGGTGCTTAGGACTCACATTTTGCAAGTACCTTGGGAATGTTTCCATGTGGTAATCCTCCAGCCCGACCCTCTGGATTGAGGGCATGCCATGCAGAAATTTCATCTTTTCGCACTTACAAATTGTAAGCTTTTGCAATCTTGGGAGGTTAGTTATACTCTCCAGGTTAGGGTTGTGAAACACGTCAAGCTCAACTATGGAAGTCAAATTCTTCAGAGAGCTGAGTTGTTGAACCTCATATACGCACAACTTCTTAAGAGCCCTCGCATGATACACAAGACCAGGCGGAATGCGCGTCAACTTGCACCTCTTCAGCAGGAGCAGCTCCAAAACAGGCATGGCTTGCACAAAAGTTTGCTCCTCCCACTCCCACTCCTCCCACTCCACCATTCCAATGAACTCCAGCCTATGCAATCTAGGAAAAATTGCCCCTGCCTGAGATGGATGACCATGACAATGATGATGGTAGGGCCCCTGGAAATCAGGTCCCACACGCTTGATGGCTGGAGCGTGGTCAACCTGCAGGAGCTGCAAACAGGGGAGCTGACATAAACCATCAGGGAGCTGGGCACAAAAGGGAAGGTCATCCATTGTTAGAAACCTCAGGAACTTAAGGGCCACCAGTGCCTTTGACGACATCATCCACCTTGGGAGACGCTGACCAAAATATCCTCCGATATCGAGGTTCTCTAAAGACGGTGGAGGGCATAGCTCATCAAACACCTCTTCGATTCGCCGCTGCTCCTCCTCAGAGATGCTTCCTTCTTCTGAGATCAACCCAGCATCACCTAGTTTACTGCTGCATCCTAAAGTCAAATAGGTCAGATGCTCCTTGGCGCCAAGCCTCGCCTTTGCTGCAAATGAGGTGGCAGATACATTGTCGAGGCCTTTTATAGCAAGATCCCTGAGCTGGGAAAGGGGGCCTAACTCTTCCAAACTACACCAATTGCCATGCATGTGGGCTGGAAACCCATATAGTTTCCTCAAATTTGTTAAGCCACCAAAACCCCTAGGTATACCATCAGTTATACTTGTGCCGGTAAGGCTTAGATACCTTAGGTGTCCTAACTTTACAATACTGTCAGGAAGTTTTGTCAGATTTTCACATCCTCTAAGGCTAATGAGCTGCAAGAATTTCATTTTGCCAATCTTTTCTGGTAGTCTAGATATGTCACAGTAACGTATGGACAAATACCTCAAGTGCTTCAGTTGATACAGAGAGTCAACCAGTGCGGCAACATTTGAAGATTGTATATGCAAGGTCCGGAGGCTTGGAAAAGCAATTAGCGAATCACCAGGCTTAATATTGAAATGGCCAAATGTTATTAGTGTTCTCAGATGTCTTTGTGCTTGTAACATGCTCCACTGTAATTCACCTGATTCAGACCCTCTTGTTTCTATACACAGCCGAAGAAACTTTTGCGTATTGAGTTTACTGATGTTACCAATTTCCTCATTGTGAGCTACTAGCGATTCATCTCCCGCCACACATTGACCAAATGAGCGAACAACATCATGCATGGTACAATGATATTGATCGATATACTCTTTGTCTGGCTCTATGAGGTTCCTCACAATTAACTCCTTGTAGTAATGTCTTCCTGTTTCTTCTAGTTCATCTAATGAGCTTCCATGAACAAAACCTTCACTGATCCACATTCCAACAATTATATCATAACCAAATACTATATTTTTGGGGAGAAGGGAGTAGTGCAGAAAGCATTGCTTCAAACAAGGAGAGAGATTTTCGTAGCTTAGGTATACAGCATAGTTTAGCTCTTCTGGCATTCCAGCAACCGACCATGCAGAATCATTCATAACTTTCTCCCAGTCACTTCTATTTCTCTCTTTCTGGCACAAGAGCCCTCCCATCACTTTCACTGCAAGTGGCAAGCCATCACATTTTGCTATAATTTTCATTCCGATATCCTTCAGCATCTCAATATCAGCTTCATGTATCTCATTTGAGACTACCTGCATGCAGTTCAAGCCCATAGAACTGGTAAGTGTTACAGAAGCACTTGGGCAGTGCTACTACTTTAGTTACTGCTGATGGATTATGCCAGTATGTGATGTCTCTGTCTATGTTATTATTATTTTTAAGTATAATGCTGCTATCTTCACTCTTTCATTTAATATCAATCGAGCACATTCTGACAAAATTTTCACCTCTAGTAGCACTACCAGGTAATATTTTAAAACATAACAGTTAGTGAAGAACCACCTATTCAACTCCAGCTCACAAACATTAGCTTTGATCCTTATTTCTGCGTAACAACACATTTACTGGAATTATAGTTCCTTCTGCAACGCTAAAATAAATATCACAGTTGCGTCATGTTACAATGTCATATGTTAATAGGTGGGTTGCTGGATTAGAAATTTGAGGGGTTTCGTTGCTTGATTGGTACATTAGATTGAAAAAAAAAATACATTGTGCCTTTTTTGAAGTCACATTGTAATCAAAGTTTAGACCAGCTCAGTGCAAGTATAACCATAAAAAAGCTTCTATAAGCTCCAGATTATGGTATGCATGTCATGTTAGTGCTAGTTCTGTGCGAGTATGTACAGATACTTCCTTAGATGCTGGAGTTTGTAACGAAAAAAAGTATTAGATCTAAGTCTAACAGTCTATTAGATCTTTATATATATTATTATATAGGCACAAAGCTACATAGTACGGTGGAGAGTATCAAATTGTTGAACTATATATCAATCTACTGGAGGCAGACTGCACAATTGCAGGCTCAAAAAGTATCTAAGGGCAGAAAACATTGCACAGACCTGTTTCTTGAGTAATGACCAGGCATCTGTATGGCTCAGTTTGTCGACATGGTGGTAGGGATGCGCTGCTTTCATTGCTCGGGCGACTCTTTCATCTCTCGTGGTGACGATGACCCGGCTACCTTCTCGAAGCACAGCATTGACCAAGGGAGTTTCAAGCACATCCTCCCATGCCTTGTGGCTCCACACATCATCCATGACCAGCAACAGCTTCTTCCCTGTCAAGGCAGCAGCAAGGGCTGGCTGGAGCACAGCCATTGCTTTTTCGCCATGGTGGTCTTCCCCAGCTAGTGTGATGGCGGTTCGGAGCAGCTCAACCTTGTCAAAGTCTTGATTGATGCTCAGCCATATCCTCTTTTCGAACTTGTCCTTGATGGTCTCATGGTTGAAGATCTCACGGGCGAGGGTGGTCTTGCCAATGCCGCCAACACCCACGATGGCAGTCACCATAATTTCTCTCTTGCTGCCCTCTTTTTCTGTTAGCATCTCTACGAGTTCTCTTGTGTCTTCTTTAATCTTCTCACCAACCACCACATCTGACCGTGTAGGCTCCCCTGTTGTCTCACGATTGCCAGCTGAGTGAGAGGTCACCTTGCTATTACGCTCCATGTAGGAGCTGAGGTTAACGAACCTGAACTGAGCACTCCTCTCCATGATGCTATCCAGCCTCTGGTTCAGCGCCGTAATTTGGCTGCCGATTTTATGGGCAAAGACAGGATTCTGCAGGCAGAAGAGTAATGGATTGCAGCAACCATGCTGACCAGGCATGCTCACAGATGACGCACCACGCTCCATGGCCATGAGTTGACACAGGTCAAGGATGTCAATTGCATCATACATGGCATCCTTGAGCTCTTTCACCCACCCCTGCACGCTCTGATCGGTGATGTTCCTCCTGTCAGCATCAGCGAGTAAGTTCTTGAGGTCCCTGAGCTTGACGCCCAGGCTGTCAATCTCACCGGCAACACCCAGCAACATTCCCACTTCTTCTTGTGCCATCTCTGTAAGCAAGCTAGTGACGTAAGATGCAAAGGCATCCAGAACCACCGCCATTGTTTCAGTCGTGGTTCACTGGTTCTTGCTGCAATAAAGTTAAACCACTTCAAATCACTTCCTAATTAATTTTAATTTCCTACTTAATGAAACACGTGCTAAGCACGTTCTCGAACAAAATTAATTTTAATTTCACAGGCACCAAATTAAATTTCATGTGAACAATTGGGAAGAAAGAATACTATTCAATTTGCTACAAGCTGCTTACTTTTCGCTTTGAAATAGCATTACTAACAAGAGAGAAAGAGGTGCACTGCAAAGCCAGTAAGATAAGATTTCAACAAGAAGATAGCAAATAGCCGAAGAGAATACCTTGAAATCTTTGATGTTCCTGAGGATATTATCTAGTACACCTGGCGAGTCGAGGCTGTGGCCAGTTGGCCTTGGCCACAGAGAGCAGAGGCAGGTGGGCACTCGGCAGGTCCTCAAGTGCATTTGGTGTGTCAAGACCGAATTAAATGGGGGGATTTTGCCAATTGCCGTGCCTTAGTAAGCCTTCTTATTCTTGTTTATTGTTAGGTGGTGGGAACTTTTGACACAAGATCTCTGCAAATGCTTTTGTCATGAGTGGCGAACATTGTTTTGTCATTCATAAGCACGTCCAGGCGCATGTATTTACACTTTACACACGTCCCAGCCATAGAAGATACTGAAAGGAATGTGATCACAAGACTGTAAGTCAGCTATCAAATCAAGTCAAGATCTAACGAAAGTTTTCTTTACAGTCCAGGCCAAGTCATGCCAAGAAAGGCACCATCCACTCTCGCTCTCCATGCGACCATGCCAGATGAAGCGAAATTTCGAGGAGAACAACGCGCTTCGTGGGGATGACGGCGTCGGCCGCGTGGCCATGGACTCGATGTGGGCCGGCCGGACGACGACTACACCATATCCCGCTGGCGGCTCCACCGTTATTGCCTGGATTTGAAGGAAGGCTGTGTCCAATGAAGTGGGTTAGAGCCGTGGGAGGGAGGAACAGCGGTGGAGCTGTCGTGGACTCGAGGGAGAGGCCAAGAGGTCCATCGGTCGATCGGCTCGGTGCCTCGGTTCGGCCGGCTGTGGAGGGGGCAGAGAAATAGGAAGAACGGTGAGGACAAAAATTACGAAAACAGAGGGTGTGTTTGATTGGGGAGTGAAGTAAGATGGAATGAATTCATTCCTAATTTTAGCAACGGGATGGTTATTATGTTTACTAGGCCGGGTTGCGCGCTTCGGCGCACGCAGGTGATGTGTACATCTCTGTGTTTTTCTTGCTGTGAACTTGTGATACCGCTCTTGCAAAGGTTACATCACTTTGATCTTTGTGAGTTGTGACTGGTATTCGAGCATCGTGGATGCGTGAGGATAGCGTGGCTTGCCTTTCCGGAGTATGTTGACGTGGTATTTCCCTTTCAATGTGGTATATGTATTGTTTTGGTGATTCATTTAGATCTTTCCGTATTATATATAATGTTTAGCTATGATGATGAAGCGAATACACATGGGATACAAAGGAACTTAGAAAAGTATACATATGCAAATACTGACTGGATTCATAAAGGGAGCATATAACGTTCTTTGCAAAAAAAAATCTAAATTTGCCCAACTATGTATTGATTATTTTAAAAATACATGGACACAGGACACATGATTTAAAAATAAAAAACAGTTCTGGCCAAACCCGCTAAGGCTCATACATCGTGACATAAGCACCGATTCACTTTCGCAAGCCAAATTTCCTAACTTTCCCTTTCACCTGTAACTTGAAATAAAAATAGAGAACATATATCAAATGAATAAACATTATACAGATTGGGGTTTGTCCGAACAAATGGAGTGTAGTTCCATTTGAACATTGGAAATTACCTTAGCTTTTATGCAACAAAAAAGAGGTGGTCTCAAGCTTTGAAGATTCACATGTTTCAAAATTGTGAAGAGGTGGTTTCAATATTCACAAGGGATCATAAAAAAAATGTGAACTGACCTCTTCTAGATTTGGTGCTCCAGCTAGTATTGTATTATAACCAAGTAAATAGTTAGTCCCCACTAAAAATATATAGAAGTCAAAAGAGTCATGTTGTAGAGGAAAATGACAGATTGCAGATGAAGTTATCTGAAGTATGACAGGATCTGGTAGCTTTCTGGACATAATGTAGAGTAGTTCTACTCCAGGTTTCATACACAAAACTGATAAAACAGATGTTTGCAAAAGAGTGTAAAGCCATCAGGAATATATGGTATTTTTTATCATAATAAAATCATGATATCACTAACCAAAAAGACTGTCAAGCGTGAATATAATTTAGTGTTAATTTTATATGCAAATTATGCTAGCACCATGAATATAAAGGTCACCTAAAGCACATTATTTCATAGTATTTGATTGTACTATAGGTTTGAAACTTTGGGCAAGTTCATTTTCTTTGAACAACTGTTTTTTGCCATGACCAATAACATCATTCAGAGGTTTTCTGAACACCTTGTCCATATAATGATAATAACAAATGTGCCACTGACCTGTTGGATGTTGGATCTCCACTTGCGGTATGAAGCTCACAGCTGACAGCTCCCAGGCAAGGAAGCAGTCATTGCTATTCTGAGTGGTGTGTGCTCGATGCGTCATGGCTTCCATTTAGCAACTCAGTATTGTAAGCCTTCAACATTACAATTAACTTTTAGAGCAGAAACAGATCAGCAACACTACTGATCTCTCTGCTACACGATTTTTATGACAAAGAATACCACTGCAAGACGTGTGTTTACCTTTTTATGGGTGAAGAGGCTTAACAAAACGATTAGCTCAAAAAGATATAATGTAGAAAAGATTCATCAGGTGAACAACTTTCCTTTAACATTCCCCCCTCCCACGGGCCAAGAAGAAAAAAGAAAAATAGATTCCCAGCATTTAGTGCAGTGCAATTCAAACACAGGACGGCTTATATTGTAGGCATGCAAGTTTTGATCGAAGTCATCACTCTAGTGTCCGGTAAGCACAAACATAAAAGAAATCGCCATATAGGGAACATCCCGGCACATCAGCCAAAGATGCTCGATGCATATTTTATCAGAAGTGATAATAGCAAGAAGAATAAACAACAGTAGTGTAAACTTACATTTTAGAATCACATGATTGAGGAAGAGAATCTGAGCGCTCATATCCATAGCCCAAGTCTTTTAATCACAAAAATTCTGTTATGATAAAAGAATTCATAGACCTGCTCCAAGGAATTTATCATTCAGTAAAATTATCTAATTTTTAAACAAATAAACATAAAGCAAGTCCTTACAATAATTACCATCGATATTTTACAGGCATAAATTATACAGGGATTCATTAGAGCTAGTTGAAGTTAGACAGATCACATTGCCGATTTCCCACCTCCAAAGGCTTTTTAAAGCAAGCACATATAAGATGCTTGATTTTGAAACACCATAAAATGTACAATTTTTAGCACATGTGAGCCATCCAGGTGAGCAGAAACAGGCCAATGGAAAAACTGCGCCATCTAATTTAGACATTTTTTTATTTCGTACATTCAATGGCAGCTACATATTTGCACAGTCAAAGCATCAGGATAAAACATTCAATAGCTAGAATCATACCGTGGCATACAGGTAGCAATGTCTTGTAGCAACTTTGAATCCGGAAGAAGGAATTAGGAACATTTTGCCATTAGAAAGGACTACATGTTTGCGCTGCATGTAACAGTATTCACAGATACTGATAATGCGATCCATTAGAAGTACCATGGGTGCAACGTGGGTTAGAGTCTGACATACGTCCTTCTAACATGATAAGAAGCTCTAGGATCGCTGAAGCTGATGCAACCGCCGTTCCTGAGGTCTGCACGACAGAAGAAATCAAATTGAGTCAGCAACAGTTGAAGCAAGCCAGACATATACAATGGCATACTGCAAGCGGGATGGTTGAAAAGAATGGTCGGTCTAATGGCATGAGATAGAAACATGTGTAAGAGCAATTGGCTATGAAAACAAACTATTTCAGTTAGAGAAAAAAAACAGAACTATTTTTCCCAGGCTAGACATATAAGATGGAATAAATACTAACCTTCTATACATATGGATGCTAGGTCTCAGTTCCATCATTTGGAACTACAATCCACCATGGTATGCCCATCTACAATTCTGCAATCTCAGATAGTCTTAAAAAAAATCCACCAAAGGAAACTAAATTTCTATAGGGAAACTAAGAAGAAATCAATCTCAAGTAGTGTAGTTAAGACCTAACCAAAGTAGTTAAGACCTAACCAAACACATTTTTTGTCCAAGCAGATCAAGATCGGACACCAGATCGAGATGATCAACATGGAGAAGGAGGGGGCGTGAACCTCAATGCCAGGAAGACGGCAAGGTAGACTTGGGGAGCCGCCTGCTGGCGGAGATGAGGATGAGTGCGGCCTCTGACCGTCGCTTCCGCTCTGTGGATGCCGACGCCCTAAGCGCCGCCGCCTCTCCGTCCTGGTTCGGCGAGGCAGTAATAATTCTGGCAAAGTAGTAAGGATTTAGGAATTCCACCTGCAGATGTGTGTACCTTGGTCCAGCTGCTTGATCCACTGAATTTCCAACTCACAACCCAGATCTCGTGAAGCACTCACATTACAAACAAGCTCACCAAAGCATGTTGATGGTGTGCTAACCTATTACAAAGCACCCACACACCGCAATTAGTTAGTCAATGCATAAGAATTGATAATTTTAGCATCTTGGTTGACAACGAGGAATTGAGAAGAGGAGACCGAAAGGGACAAGCGACCTCAAGATGAAGAGCAGACTCAGACCACGCTTAGGGCCTCCATGTCGTGGGCCAACCTCATTTGGATCCGTCGGTATTGTCGCGGACCGTGGCCCTCCGTGCTGTGGCCGCCCTCGCGGGGGTCGCGGAAGCATGCTAGGGCCTCCACGTTGGGGGGCCACCTGGCTGGATTCGCCGGTCTTTGCCACGGACCGTGGCCCTCCGTGCTAGGGCTGCCCTCGCCGGGGCCGTCGGAGCTGCCGCGCCG